GTGTCGTCGTGCGATTAGCCTGGGATCAGCTTTCTCCTGATACCATGAAGAAACCCAATTCGGGTTACAGAAGAGCAAATAGATCTTGATGGAGGAATAGAAATATTATTCAATCTTCTTGCATTACATTACAAAGGGCTGAGTATAAATAGAGGTGATATGAGAGGGAATACATCTAGTACACGTGTCAGCTTGCCATAGGATAGTATCAGACATTATTTCTTTTGATTACATTGCTCTAACATTCCCCCGCAAACAGAAGATCGGGTAGCAATCGTGAGTTTGGATCTTAAAAATTTAAACCGAGCGGTTGATAAGGGTTTGGTTAGTATATCCGCTATTTGATCGATCGTGTTAATAGGAAGTAAACGAATGATGTTGTTTTGAATGTGATCACGGACGAATCGTTGATCGATTTCAATGTGTTTTGTGCGGGCATGAAAAACAGGATTGTTAGATAGAGCGATAGTCTACGTATTGTCGCAGTAGATGTCCACCGGCTGGTTGTGTTGCAGGTGAAAATTAGCAAGTAACCTTTTGAGCCAAATCGTATCTGCCGTGGCTGACGCTAGAGCGCGGTACTCGGATTCTGTTGAAGATCTAGACACGGTGGTTTGCTTCTTTACAGTCCAAGAAATTAGTGTATCACCAAGAAACGTGCAATACCCGGATGTTGATTTCCTGGTAACCGGATCTGAGGCCCAATCAGCGTCCGAAAACGTCCGTAGCTGAAGGTTTGATCTGCTGATCGGAAGACCAAAATCTGCGGATCCTTTAATGTACCGTAACAGTTTCTTGAGCATGAGCATGAGAGAATGATTTGGATCGTGCATATGTTGGGATAGAGCATTGACCGCATACTATATATCAGGTCTTGTAAGAGTTAAGTATTGGAGAGAACCAATAATTTTTCGGTATTGACAAGCGTCTAGCCATGGACGGTCCTCAGAAATAATATATGGAAGTTTTGTAAAGAGGGATTAGAGACCGAATTGCATTTTCTGCAATTCGGCCATTTGTACAATTGAGTTGGCATAGGAACTTTGAGATAGAAAAAACTTATCAGAGGTAGATTCAATTTGGATGCCGAGGAATTGTCTTGCCATTCCTAGTTCTTTTATAGTGAATTTGAGTTTCATATGTTCAACGATTGCTTGCATAGCTTTGTTGTTGTTGTCGGTTATGAGGATATCGTCCACGTATACAAGTAGGTATATTTGTACACTTTCTTTATGCATAATCATTAAGGACGGATCCGCCTGACTGTGCACAAAACCGATTTGTATAAGATAGGTAGTGAAAGTTGCATGTGTACCATTGTCGCGGTGCTTGACGTAGCCCGTATATTGCCTTTCGAAGCCTGCATACGTGGTTTGGTAGAGCCGTGTCTTCAAAGCCTTTAGGTTGGCGCATGTACACTGTCTCGTTGATATCACTGTGCAGGAAGGCATTTGCGACGTCGAGTTGATGAACATTCCGTATGTGGTATATGGCTATAATGAATAGTACACGAATGGTTGGTAGTTTTGCTACCGGACTAAATGTGTCCCGATAGTCCAAGCCGAATTCTTGTTGATTTCCTTGGGCTACTAGTCTAGCCTTGAATCGAGCTATCGAGCCATCCGAGTTGTATTTTGTCCGATAGGTCCATTTTGAGCCAAGAACGGAGCAGTTTGGTGGTGGCGGAACTAGTTCCCACGTACCCTGTCGTTGTAGCACATAGAATTCATCTGCCATAGAG